TCTTGCGGGCCTTTTGCGCCGTCTTAGACCATATTGGGGCCATCTTGGGCCGTCTTGGATGCATCTTGGAGCCATCTCAGCCGTCTTGGAGGCCATCTTGGCTGTCTTGGAGGCATCTGGCAGGCCATCTTGGGCAATCTTCGCGATTTGTTGAGGATGTCCCGAGCGAAACGGCCGTTTTTGGCGATGGCAGCCGGGTCTTCCGGGTGCCTCTTGGGGCCGTCTTGGAGGCCTTTGGGCCGTCATGGGGCCCTCTTTGGGCCCTCTTGGGCGATCTTGGGGGCCCCTTGGGCCGTCTTGAGCCGTCGGAATGCCGAGAAGAGGCAAATGCCAAAATCCTTTACAAACCAAGGGAAAATCACTGGTTTTGGCCTCTTCGGGCCCTCCTGGAGGACCTCTTGGAAGCCTCTTGGGCCGTCTTGGAGGCCTCTGGGGGGCCTCTTGGGCCGTCTTGGGCCGTCTTGGACTCTCTTGGGCCGTCTTGGACCATGTTGGGCGGACTTGGAGGCCATCTTGGGCCATCTTCGCGATTGTTTGAGGATGTCCCGGGCGAAACGGCTGTTTTTGGCGTTTGCAACCGGGTCTTTTCTGGAGTTCTTTTGGAAAACGAATTAAAACCAAAACCGAGAGGATCCAGCACGCCAGGCACCCCTTTGATAAATCACAAGGGGCGGCGGATCGAAGACGCCTACTGCGAATCGCCGCCACCCCCTGTATTTGTGGAAGCGCCTGTGTGGCCGAACGTTGAGGCCAGACCTGCCAAGCTATCGGACCATGTGTTCCACGAATCGGTTTGGAAAGCCTTCGGGGAACACGTGGGCATTTTGAAGGCCATCTTGGCCGCCTGGAGGCTATTTTTACCTTTTAGGGCCTTCTTGGAGGACGTCTTGGAGGGCTCGTGGGCCGTCTTGGAGGCCATCTTGAGCGTCTTGGAGGCCTCTTCGGCCGTCTTGGGGGCCTCTTGGGGCCGTCTTGGAGGCTTCTTGGACGATCCTTGGGCGATCTTTGAGGGCTCTTGGGCCGTATCGGGCCGTCGGAAGGCCGAAACGAAGCAAATGTCAAAATCCTTCAAAAGCTTTTGGAACATCACTCTTTTTGGCCTTTTCTGGCCTTCCTGGAGGCCCTCTTGGAGGCCTCTTGGGCTGTCTTGGGCCAGCTGGGAGCCACCTTCGGCCATCTTGGTGGGCTCCTGGCCCGTCTGACGCCGTCGGAAGCCGTTTCGGGGGCCTTTCTGGGCCGACTTGGGGCCCTCTTGGGGTGCTCCGGGGCCGTCTTAGAGGCCATCTTGGGCGTCTTCGAGGCCTCTTGGGCCGTCTTGGGGCCCTCTTAGGGCCGTCTTGAGGGGCCTCTTGGGCCGTCATGGGGCCATCTTGGGGGCCTCTTAGGCGATCTTTGGGCGACCTTGGGGGCCTCTTGGGCCGCCTTGGGCCATCGGGAAGCCGAAAAGGCGCAAATGCCAAAATCCTTCACAAACCTACGGAACATCAATACTTTTCGCCTCTTCGGGCCTTCCTGGAGGACCTCTTGGAGGCCTCTTGGGCCGTCTTGGAGGCCTCTTCGGGGCCTCTTGGGCCGTCTTGGGCCAGCTTGAGGCCATATTGGGCCCTCTTGGGTGCATCTTGGGCCGTCTTGGAGGCATCTGGGGGCCATCTTAGCCGTCTTGGAGGCCATCTTGGCAGTCTTCTAGACATCTTGGGACCATCTTGGGCAATCTTGGCCGTCTTCGAGGCCATCGAAGGCGTCTCGGAGGCCTCTTGGGCGGTCTTGCGGCTCTCTTGGGGCGGGCCTCGTGGACCGTCATGGGGCCATCTTGGAGGCCTCTTGGGCGATCTTCGGGCGACCTTGGGAGCCTCTTGGTCCGTCTTGGGCTGTCGGAAGGCCGAAAATGCGCAAATACCAGAATCCTTCAATGATTTTGGCCTCTTCAGGCCTTCCTGGAGGACCTTCTTTTGGAGGCCTCTTTGGCCCGTCTTGGAGGCTTCTTGGGGGCCTCTTGGGCCCATCTAAGGCCGTGTTGGGTGCATCTTGGGCCGTCTTGGAAGCATCTAGGGTCTAGGGGCCATCTTAACCGTCCTGGAGGCCATCTTGCCGTCTTGGAGGCATCTTGGAGGCAATCGTGGGCCATCTTGGCTGTCTTGGAGGCTATCTTCGGCTTCTTCGAGGCCTCTTGGGTCGTCTTGGGGCCGTCTTGAGAGCCTCTTGGGTCGTCATGGGGCCATCTTGAAGGCCTCTTGGGCGATCTTGCGGCGTCCTTTGGGGCCTCTTGGGCCGTCTTGGGCCGTCGGAAAGCCGAACAGGCGCCAATGCCAAAATCCTTCAAAACCTAAGGAAAAATCATACTTTTGGCATCTTCGGGCCTTCCTGGAGGACCTCTTGGAGACCTCTTGGGCAGTCTTGGAGGCCTCTTGGGAGCCGTCTTGGGTGCATCTTGGGTCATCTTGGAGGCATCTTGGGGCCATCTTAGCCGTCTTGGAGGCCATCTTGGCCGTCTTGGAGGCCATCTTAGGCCATCTTTGAGCCGTCTGGAACGGAAACACCCTTTGCAACCACCTCTGGAAGATCCTTCCGGGTGGCCAGCGGGACGGGCCGAAGCCCCAGGGGGAGTTCCTTTGGAAAAAGAACCAAAACCAAAACCGTAATAGTCTTGCACGTCAGGCACCCCTTTGATAAATCAAAAGGGGGCTGCGGATCGAAGACGCCTACGGCGAATCACCGCCGCCCCCTGCCTTTTTGGAAGCGCCTATGTGGCCGAACGTTGAGGCCAGACCTGCCAAGCTATCGGACCACGTGTTCCCCGAATCGGTTTGGAAAGCCTTCGGGGAACACGTGGGCATCTTGAAGGTCATCTTGGCCGTCTTGGAGGCCTCTTGGGCAAGCTTTGGGCGATCTTTGGGGCTTTTTGGGCCGTCTCGGGCCAGCTTCGAGCCAACTTCGGCCATCTTGGTGGGTTCCTGGCACGTCTGAAGCCGTCGGAAGCCGTTTGGGGGGCCTCTATGGGCCGACTTGGGGCCCGCTTGGAATGCTCCAGGGCCGTCTTGGAGGCCATCTTGGGCGTCTGGGAGGCCATCTTGGGCGTGTTGGAGGCCTCTTGGGCCCTCTTGGGGCCCTCTAGGGGCCATCTTGGAGGCCACTTGGGCCATCATGGGGCTCTCTTGGGGGCCTCTTGGGCGATCTTGGGGGCTTCTTGGGCCGTCTTGAGCCGTCGGAGAGCCGAAAAGGCGCAAATGCCAAAATCCTTCAAAAACCAATGGAAAATCAATGATTTTGGCCTCTTCGGACTCTCCTGGAGGACCTCTTGGAGGCCTCTTGGGCCGTCTGGGAGGCCTCTGGGGGGCCTCTTGGGCCGTCTTGGGCCGTCTTGGACTCTCTTGGGCCGTTTTGGAGGCCGTCTTGGACCATCTCGGGCGGACTTGGAGGCCATCTTGGGCCATCTTCGCGATTTTTTGAGGATGTCCCGAGCGAAACGGCCGTTTTTGGGCATTGACAGACGCATTTTGGGAAATGCGCGGGTGGCCGGCGGGACGGGCCGAAGCCCACTGGGGAGTTCTTTTAGAAAAAGAACCAAAACCAAAACCTGAATCATCCAGCACGCCGTGCACCCCTGCAAGCAGGGGGCGGCGGATCGAAGACGCCTACGGCGAATCACCGCCGCCCCCTGCCTTTGTGGAAGCGCCTATGTGGCCGAACGTTGAGGCCAGACCTGCCAAGCCATCGGACCATGTGTTCCCCGAATCGGTTTGGAAAGCCTTCGGGGAACACGTGGGCGTCTTGATGGTCATCGTCGCCGTCTTGGAGGCCTCTTGGGCGATCTTTCGGCGATCTTTGGGGGCTCTTGGGCCGTGTCGGGCCGTCGGAAGGCCGAAAAAAGGGAAATGCCCAAATCCATCAAAAACCTTGGGAAAATCAGTGATTTTGGCATCTTTTGGCCTTCCTGGAGGCCCTCTTGGGGGCCTCTTGGGCCCTTTTGGGCCAGCTTCGAGCCAACTTCGGCCATCTTGGTGGGTTCCTGGCACGTCTGACGCCGTCGGGAGCCGTTTTGGGGGCCTTTCTGGGCCAACGGGGGACCCTCTTGGGGCGCTCCAGGGCCGTCTTGGAGGCCATCTTGGGCGTCTTGGAGGCCATCTTGGGCGTGTTGGAGGCCTCTTGGGCCGTCTTGGGGCCCTCTAGGGGCCATCTTGGAGGCCACTTGGGCCATCAGGGGGCTCTCTTGGGGGCCTCTTGGGCGATCTTGGGGGCTTCTTGGGCCGTCTTGAGCCGTCGGAGAGCCGAAAAGGCGCAAATGCCAAAATCCTTCAAAAACCAAGGGAAAATCAATGATTTTGGCCTCTTCGGACTCTCCTGGAGGACCTCTTGGAGGCCTCTTGGGCCGTCTGGGAGGCCTCTGGGGGGCCTCTTGGGCCGTCTTGGGCCGTCTTGGACTCTCTTGGGCCGTCCTGGAGGCCGTCTTGGACCATCTCGGGCGGACTTGGAGGCCATCTTGGGCCATCTTCGCGATTTTTTGAGGATGTCCCGAGCGAAACGGCCGTTTTTGGGCACGGTGGCGGGACGGGCCGGAGCCCACTGGGGAGTTCTTTTGGAAAAAGAACCAAAACCAAAACCTGAAACGTCCAGCACGCCGTGCACCCCTGCAAACAGGGGGCGGCGGCTCTAATGGCCTTCGGCTCATCCCGCCACCGTGCCTGCGTTGTGGGTCAGAGTTCTCGGGGATGCTTCCTGGGGTCTCTTCGGAGCGCACTCTTGGGGGCCTTTCGGGTGCAGTTTTTGGGCCTCTTGGCGGCCTTTTGGCTTGGGCTTATAAGATTAGGCAAGTGAGCTGTGGACAAAGCCACTCCGTGCCCAGGGCGGAAGAATAAGGAACCCCTCCCCCAAGAGGAAGAAGGGGCTTGGGAGAAGTATCGGCCTAAGTCACTCACGCCACGAGAGCTGTTGGGATTCTGGTCAGAACGCACACTGGGAGAGGTTTGAGGAGTAGCGGTATCAGTGCCTTCTTGTTTCTCCAGGGCGCCCTTGGCAACCTGGGCGGCCCTGGGGGCTTCGGCGGCCTGACGCCGGCTAGCTACCAGACTCTGGTGGCGAGAATCGCCGGGATCGTGGGCAAGGGCGGCAAGGGCGCCGGTGCCCCGCACAGGCCTCCCTGGCCGGGCGCCGGCTTCGGCAAGGGCAAGGCGAAGGCACCCGCTGCCGCGCCGTCCGCCCCCAGCGAGGGGAGCAGGACCGGGCAGGTGAAGTCGTTCAGCGAGAGGAACGGCTACGGCTTCATCACCTGCGCCGACATGGCCGGGGACGTCAAGTTTGGGCAGAGCGACCTCGCGCAGGGGCCCGTGGAGGCCGGCGCCGTGGTCGACTTTGTGCCGGTCTGGCTGCCGGACGGGCGGGTGCAGGCCAAGCAGGTGCAGCGCTCGCAGGGCGGGTGTGGTGGGCAGCAGGGGAAGGCCGCCCCAGCCGCCGCAGCGTTTCCTGCTGCCGGGCCAGCCGTCCTCGCCGAGGGGAGCATGACTGGGCAGGTGATCTCAGGCAGTGGCGAAGCGTCCCGGCGTGCCTACAGGCCTACCAAACCATGTTCTAAGAGCTTGTTTGTGGTTCCCACGAGATGTGCTTTGAACATTTCTGGCCGGGGCTGTCTTGTTTTAACACATCGGGTGTACGTTCTAAGATCACAGCGTTTTTATTGTTAGAGCAGTTCTGGCTTCTAAGAACATGTCGTGGTAGGTCTATAGAAGTGCGGGGACGGTCGGTCCCTGCTCAAAGGTGAAGTCCTTCAGCGAGAGGAACGGCTACGGCTTCATCACCTGCGCCGACCTGGACGGGGACGTCAAGTTCGGCCGCAGCGACCTCGCGCAGGGGCCCGTGGAGGCTGGCGCCGTGGTCCAATTCGTGCCGGCGATGCTGCCAGATGGGCGCGTGCAGGTCCTGGGCATAACGTACTGGAGGGGCAGTTATCCCAGGGGGGGGGTCGGGAGCGAGCCTGCCTCCCAGATCCCCTCGGGCAATGAAAAAATCATGACGGGAGGTTTTTTGCTATTTTCGGCCTCTGGGGGACATTACCGGCCTTCGGGACCGTTAAAAAACTATTCAGGATCAAAAACTGGTCCAGGGGAATGGGTCGAGACCTCCAGGGGTCGACGTAATGAAAAAAATCATGACGTCGGGGGCCTGGGCTGGATGCTCGCGCTTCTGCCTTCCGGGGACCCGTTTTGCAGCCGTTTTTCTCCCAGCGCCACGCTTGCCCTCGCCCCACCTCCCCCGGCATGCGACGTCCGGATGTTTTCAAGGACGGCGTCCCTGGAAGTCCCGACCCTTTCCCCGGGACCAGCTTTTCGTCCCGAGTCGATTTTTGAAGGTCCCGAGGCCCCGCGAGGCCCCCCCGGGACCGAAACTAGCGCAACACCTCCCGCCCTGATTTTTTGTTTTACGACGCGAGCACGTCTGGGTTTTTACGTCCCCCCGAGCAGGCCAAGCAGGTGCAGCGCTCGCAGAGCGGCTTCGGCGCGCAGAAGCGGGCGGGCCCGCCAGGCCAGGAGGGCTTCGCGGGGCTGGCGGCCGGGCCGCCCGAGAAGCGGCCGCGGCCAGCGGGGCCGCCGCCGGGGTGGGTGCCCGCCGGAGAAGCGTCCGGCACGGTCAAGTCGTTCCTGGGCCGCACGCAGAACATCGGCACGAACGAAATGGGCACGGAAAGAATGGGTACAATGCCCAACAGCGGATCCTGTTCATTTTGAACAGGGCTCGCTGTCCACGCCGCCGCGGCCTGTGTCCATTCGAGACAGAAGGCCGCCTGCCCAACAGCGGCCGCTGTTGGTTTGGGACAACATGTGTTGTTGGGCATTGTACCCATTCTTTCCGTACCCATTTGGGGCGTCCAAAGAACACACTCGGGTATGGCCAGGACCCCATGGCAAGGGGACCCGGAGCCCCTGGCCTGGCCAGAATATCCCCAGACATGCTCGCGTCGTATAAACAAAAAGAAGTCAGGACGGGAGGTTTTTGGCAATTTTCGGCCCTGGGGGGGGCTCGCTGGGCCTGGGTACCGTCAAAAAACGACGCAGGACGAAAAACTGGTCCTGGGGAAGCGTCCGGCACTGGCCGCACGCAGAAGACATTCGGGTATAGCCAGGATGAAGTCGGGCCTGTCCCTCTACAGGAGGAAAATGCAAAAATAGTGAAACATATCGTCTGGGGACGATTCTCTAATACTTCTGGCTATTTTGGAGTATCTTTTGACTGTTTATTAATTTTTCGTTCAAAATCCGCCTGTAGGGGGACACGCCCGACCTAAAGCCAGGACCCCAGGTAAGGGAATCCGGTTAGTGGTAGGACCCCGGGGCCCTTGAATTGGCCAGAATCACTAGCTGGCTCTGTGCCGTAGCTGGTGTTTTGTTCGGGTGGCGGCAGTTCCTGTTCGTGGATGGGGCGGGGGGGCGTCCCCCAGTACACATCCTTAAACCAGGTCGCACTAAGTAAACCCAGTTCTGCCAACGCCCAGAACACAGATCTCTGACAACATGATTGACAACCATCCTGTGGTGTCGGGTCCTCGTTTGGAAGAGACAGCGCCACGCGTTCCTCAACGCTCCATCTCTATTCCCCCTCCTCGCTCCTCCCGCATCTGCCCTCAGCGCAACAACATCATCATCATCATCATCATCATCATCATCATCATCATCATCATCATCATCAGCATCATCATCATCATAATCATCGTAATTATCATCAGCACATCAGCATCATCATCCGCAGCATTATAAGTATCATCGTCATCATCATCAGCAAGATCACCATTATCATCATCAGCATCATGATCATGATCATGCTCAGCATCACCATAATCGCCCTCATAAACATGAACAGCATCATCACCACAGGCATCATCATAACCATCATCATGAGCATCATCATCAACACCATCAGCAGCACAACCATAATCTCCAGCATCACAACATCATCGTCATCATCATCAGCATCACCATCACCATCGTCATCATCATCAGCATCATAATCATCACCATCACCATCACAATAATCATCATCAGCATCTTCCTCCTCCTCATTATCATCACCATCACCAGCACCATCATCATCAGCAGCAGCATCATCATAATCATCTTCATCACAACCATCATAAACATCAACATTATTTCAGCCTCCTCATCATCACCATAATCAACTTCGTCATCGTTATCGTTATCGTCGGCATCGGTATCATCAACTTGGTCAGCGTCAGAGTCAAGGTCATCATCATCGTCACAATCACTGGCCCCCGGTCGCTACGCCCATTCTGGCACATGCCTCACACGTGTTGTGGCTCAATTGCGAGCTCCACCGAAGGCCCCAGTAGCAGGGTTCGCACGCGGTACCCGCCTCCATTTCGGTACATGCTCACACATTGGGTGGCCCCGTAGAGGGCTCAACGGGAGATCCCAGTGGCAGGGCTCGCATGCGGGACCCGCCTCCATTTCGGCACACCCCTTACACGCTTCGTGGCGCCATATGGAGCTCCACCGGAGACCACAGTGGCAGGGTTCGCATGCGGTACCCGCCCCCGTTTCTGTACATCCCTCACGAGTTTCGTGGTCCCACAGGGAGATCCACAGAAGAACCCTGTGGCAGGGCTTGCATGCGGTACCCGCCTCCATTCCGGCACACCCATCACAAGTCACCCATCACAAGTTTCGTTGCTCCATATGGAGCTCCACCGAAGGCCCCAGATGCATGGCTCGCATGCGGAACCCGCTCCAAGCTGGCACAACCCTCAAACATTTCGTTTCTCCAAAGGGAGCTTCACCGCAGGCCCCAGTGGAGGAGCTCGCATGAGGGACCCGCCTCCATTTCGGCACACCCCTCACGCGCTTCGTGGCCCCATGGGGGGCTCCACCGAAGGCCCCAGTGGCAGGGTTCGCATGCGGTGCCCGCCCCAATGTGGGCACACCTCTAACACGGTTCATGGCCCCATAAGGAGTTCCATTGGCGGGTGCAGCGGCAGGGTTCGCGTGTGGTGCCCGCCCCCATGGTAGCACACTGCTCACACATTTCGTGCCCACGGGGGGCTCCACCGAAGGCCCCAATGGCAGGGCTCGCACGCGGTACCCGCCTCCGCTTCGGCACATGCTTCAAACGCTTCCTTTCCTTCGTCCCACTTGCCTTGCGGTATTCACGCCTGCATTTGGTTGGGTTCTTCGCCAGAGCATCTCGGTTTCAATCCCAACCGTTTTGTTTCGATTGCGACCTCTGGGGCTCTGGGGCCCCAGGGCCGTCGAAAACGGATCTGGGATGATACGCTGTTCCAGGGACGGGTTCGGCAGATTTGTTCCGTGGACCGAAAGAAGCACTTCGTCGGATACCTGGGAAGGAGGTGGGGGTGGTCCAATTCGATCCGATGGATCCGATTCGACATAGATTCTGGCTGATGCGGTCCGACTCGATCCCGATATTCCGACCGTCGGGTGCGGCCCGATGGATGTTTGCGTGGCGATGGTTCTGCGTCCTTGCGGAGCCGATCCGATCCAATTCCGACTCAGGGGGCTTGCGCCTTTCCGCCGACCACCACGAAGGAGGAGCCTGGGAAGTTTCTGCCCGCGCTTGCGGATTTCGCGGTGCCGTACTGGGGGGGCTCTTCTTCCTCCTCTTCTTCCTCCTCCTCCTCCTTCTTCTTCTCCTCCTCCTCCTCCTCCCCCTCCTCCCCCTCCTCCCCCTCCTCCTTCTCCTCCTCCTCCTTCTTCTCCTCCTCCTCCCCCTCCTCCCCCTCCTCCCCTCCTCCTCCTTCTCCTCCTCCTCCTCCTCCTCCTCCTCCTCCTCCTCCTCCCCTCCTCCTCCTCCTCCTCCTCCTCCTCCTCCTCCTCCTCATCCTCCTCCTCCTCTCACACGGTTTTTCTCGCACTGGTCCCGGCGATCTCAAACGCGACACGCGCGCAGCGGCCTCGGGGCGGAGGGCTGCGGGAGCGGTGCGGGGTGCGGAGGGCAGCGCGTTGCGGGCCTGGCTGGGCAGCGTCCAAGGGTAATGGTTTGCCCGTCGGTCGCTGAGCGTATGTTGTTTTGGTTGACTATTGGGTCCCAATCTGATCTAGCCGCCTTCCCACTTCAAGAGTCGAGCGGTTCTCCCTCTTCCCTCCCCTTCAGGAGGCGGGCGGGCACCCAGTGGATTTGTCAACGCCTTCCTAAGTCTACCTCCTTCTTCTGACCGATGGCTACGCTTCGCGAATCCCTACCAGCCCATTTAGAAGCCCTGCCCATGAGAACTGACGGGAAAAGAGACGAAGAGACACACACACACACAAACACAAACACAAACACAAACACAAACACAACACACAAACACATACACACACAGCGAGCCAGAGCGTGCAAGGAGAGGAGAGGAAGGAGTGTGCTGAGCTCTCTCGGGTCTCTTTTGGGGGGTCTTGGGGCCCTTTGGGGGGCCCTCTTGGAGCTCTCTTGGGGCTCTCGTGGGAGCTTCGGGGGGCATCATGGGGCCATCTTGGAGGCCATCGATCACAAGAGGGGGTCCCTTATCTTGCTCCCCCCCTAAGAGCCCTCAAACTCGCCTACGGGGGCCCCCTTGGGGCGTTCTTGGGGCGCTCTTGGGCGGTCTTGGGGCCGTCTTGGGGGTCTCTTGGGCCCCTCTTGGAGCTCGCTTGGGCCATCTTGGGGTCATCTTGAGGCTTCAGAAGCGCATCGGAAGCGAAACAACGAGAAGGCAACAATCATTGATTTTCCGTTGGTTTTGCGTTTCGTGGCCCCATAGGGAGCTCCACCGAAGGCTTCAGTGGCAGGGTCCGCATGCGTCAACGCCACCCGGGACAGCGTTTCGTGGTCCCACAAGGAGCTCCACCGAAGGGTCCAGTGGCAGGGTCCGCATGCGTCAACGCCGCTCAGGGCAGCGTTTCGTGGCCCCATGGGGAGCTCCACCGAAGGCTCCAGTGGCAGGGTCCGCATGCGTCAACGCCACCCATGTAGGCACACCCCTCACACGGTTCGTGGCCCCACAAATAGCTCCAACGAGGGTCACAATGGCGCAGTTCGCATGCGTCTCCCCCACTCAGGACAACGTTTCGTGGCCCCATAGGGAGCTCCACCGAAGGCCCCAGTGGTACCGTTCGCATGCGTCAGCGCCACCTAGGACAGCGCTTCGTGGCCCCATGAGGAGGAGCTCCACAGATGGCCCCAGTGGCAGGGTCCGCATGCGTCTCCCCCACCCAGGATAGCGTTTCGTGGCCCCATAGGGAGCCCCACCGAAGGCCCCAGTGACAGGGTCCGCATGCGTCTCCCTCACCCAGGACAATGTTTCGTGGCCTCTCAGGGAGCTCCACCGAAGGTCCCAGTGGTGCCATTCGCATGCGTCTCCCCCACCCAGGACAGCGCTTCGTGGCCCCATAGGGAGCTCCACCGAAGGCGGCATTGGCGCAGTTTGCATGCGTCTCCCCCACCCATGACAACGTTTCGTGGCCCCACAAGGAGCTCCAACGAAGGTCACAATGGCGCAGTTCGTATGCGTCTCCCCCACTCAGGACAACGCTTCGTGGCCCAATAGGGAGCTCCACCGAAGGCCCCGGTGGGCGGTGCCCATATGCGTCCGCGCCACCGAGTTCGGCGCACCCCTCGCACGCTTCGTGGCCCCATCGGGAGCTCCACCACATGTGGTACCCACATTGCGGCACTCGCAGCTGCATATGGTTGGGTCCTTCTTCAGGCTAATTTGACAGCCCCGAGCCTGGTAAAGGCCCGGGGGGCCGAAAACAACGACGACCCCCCCGTCGTAATCTTTTCATGCCCCTGGTGGGGCTGGGTAGTTGGCGCGGTGCCTCGAAGATGCAGCACAACAGACGGGCTTCCCCTAAGTCGGGCCTGTCCCTCTACAGGAGGAATTTCCAAAAGTAATCCAAATATAGTTTGGGGACAGTTTTCAGAGCATTTTGAAACAATTTTTGCTTGAGCATTTCTGGGGTATGTTATTTTTTCTTCCAAATTCTGCCTGTAGGAGGACATGCCTGACCTAAGGCTACCCCCTCCCCCGCGCGCCGCCCACTTCTTTGCGCGCGTCTCGCCAGGTTCCACCACGGCAAGGGCCTTGGCTTCATCACCTGCGCCGAGACCGACGGCGACGTGGCGTTCTTCGCCAGGGACCGGCCACACGCGAGTGCCCCAGACCCCCCTCGGAGCCTGAGCCAATCACAGCGGAGGGCCTTTGGATATGTTCGGCCTCCGAGGGCCCTCGCCGGACTCGGGATGAGAAGCTTGTCGCGGGGGGGGAGTCGAGCCGTCTTGGGGCCGAGGTCATGAAACAATCATGACGTCGTGGGCCTTGGGCTGTCAAGTTCTCTAGCGCCGCCAACTGATATTTGGCGCCAGTGCCGCCGCAGAATGCCCCGGACTCGCTGGTGTTCTCGGGCGTAGCTCGAATTTGTTTCTCGCGAGGTAAACTGGATTGGACTAGGACTGGACTAGGACTGGACTGGACTGGACTGAAGTAAACTGAACTGAACTGAACTGAACTGACTGGTCGCACTCGTTACGCGATGGTTCCATTCTCGGTGGCAGAGGGCGCAACCTATGGCGCAACCAACAGGAGACGGTTTTATTCTCGGCCGCCGAGGGCGCAACCTATGGCGCAACCGATAGGAAACGGTGTTCTTCTCGGCGCAACCGGGTGGAGACGGTTATGTTATTGGCGGCCGAGGGCGCAGCCTATGGCGCAACCGCTAGAAGACAGTGTTATTCTCGGCGGCCGAGGGCGCAACCGATGGCGCAACCTATAGGATACGGTGTTTATCATCGGCCCCAGAGGGCCCAACCTATGGCGCAGCCGGTAGGAAGCGGTTTTATCATCGGCCCCAGAGGGCCCAAGCTGTGGCGCAGCCGGTAGGAGACGGTTTCGTTGTCGGCGGCCGAGGGCGCAACCTATGGCGCAACCGATGGGAGACGGGTTTTTCGTGGCGGATGAGGGCGCAGCCTATGGCGCAGCCGATCTGAGACGGTTTCGTTCTCGGCGGCCGAGGGCGCAACTTATGTGTGCGCTTGGTACGACTAGGACGCCGTCAATTCACTCAGCGTGTTGGGGGCCCGCGAGTAGTACGAGGACGAAGCGTGGGCATCCAAATGCGTTCGGGGCTACGCCCGATGTATGCTCGCCGTTTGGGCTGGCGGGGGGGCCAAAGCGCCGAGCTGCCTTCTCATTGTTCCAACCATTATGTGGTGCTTGTTATTTTGAAGAGGCAGCGCTCCGCGTTCTCCTTCTTTCTCCTCCTCCTCCTCCTCCCGCTGCCCCGTCTCCTTACTTCCCATCCTAGATTCCATTCCTACCTTTTACCCTCCGCGTGTCACTGTCTCGGCACACCCCTTACGCGTTTCATCCCCCCATAGGGAGCTCTACCGGAAGCCCCAGTGGCAGCGCTCGCATGTGGTTCGGCCCCCATTCTGGTGCACCCTCACACGTTTCGTGGCCCCATCGAGCCCTTCTTTCCCAACTATCCTGTGGTGCTGGGTCTTCATTTTGAGGAGACGGCAGCCCGCGTTCCTCACCTCCTCCTCCTCCTCCTCCTCCTCCTTCTCCCTCCTCCTCCTCCTCCTTCTCCCTACTCCCATCCCTGCATCTGTCCTCCGCACGCCGCACGCCCTTCTCATCACCATCTTCATCATCACCACCATCTTTACTAACCTCCTTCGTCATCAGAATCATCACCATCATCTCCAGCAGCAGCGTCATCACCATCATCACCATCATCATCATCAGCATCATCATCATCATCATCGTCATCATCATCATCATCATCATCAGCAACGTCATCACCATCATCATCACCAGCATCATCAACACCAGTATCAACATCATCATCACCATCATCATCACCACAATCTTCATCGCCATCCCCATCTCCATCTTCGGCATCATCATCATCATCATCATCATCATCACTATCAACATCATCATCATCATCATCATCATCATCATCATCATCATCATCATCATCATCATCATCATCATCATCATCATCATCATCATGAGCATCACCATCAGCATCAGCAGCAGCATCATCATCAGGCGACCCACATGGCTGCGTTCGAATCGTGTCAGCCAACCATTTCAGCACACCCCTCACACGCTTCGGACCCCCTAGTGGGCTCCACCGAAGGCCCAAAAGGCAGCGGCCGCATGCGTGCGCCGCACGCATTTCGGCACCACCCTCACACACGTGTCGTGGCCCCGTTGGGAGCGCCACCGAAGGCCCAAAAGGCAGCGCCCGCACGCGCGCGCAGCACCCTATTCGGCACACCCATCACACGTTTCGTGGCCTCATAGGGAGCCCCACCGAAGGCACAAAAGGCAGCGTCCGCATGCGGCCCGCCGCACCCATCTTGGCACACCCCTCACACGCTTCGTGGCACCATAGGGGGCTCCACCGAAGTCCCCAATCAGAGCGCCCACATGCGGCCCCCGCCGCACCCATCTCGGCACACCCCCTTACAAGTTGCGTGGCCACATAGGGAGCGCCGCCGATGGCCCAGAAGGCAGCGCCCGCATGCGCGCGCCGCACGCATTTGGGCACACCCCTCACACACGTGCCGTGGCCCCGTAGGGAGCGCCACTGAAGGCCCAAAAGGCAGCGCCCGCATGCGGCCCGCC